GCGGCCGGCCTTGCTAGCGCCTTCCGGAATCTGGGATGTTGTCCGTCGACTACTTTGCTTGCAGTTGGTTTAGTCCTTACCATACTGGAGGAAATCAATTTTATGTCTCATTATTTTGGACTGTGGATGTAGTCGTTAAACTGCATGCATAGTAGCATGTCGTCTTTGCTCCCTACATACTTCCTGCTGGTATGATATCAATATAGTCGTTGCAGTACTGGGGCTGGGGGCTGGTTGGGGTTCGTTGGCATGAAATTCAAGCAATCTCGTTGGCATGAACTATTTTTTGAAAAAGTGGATGGGGGGAAGGGGGGGAGAGATTTTGAAAATGTGTCAGTCTCACAAAAAATCCTGTCCGGACAAACGAAAATGAAAAACAAGGAATAATATGTCACTTCCTGGTTCTTGGTTGGATAGTGAGTGTGCAGATGCAGAAGCGTATGCCAATGCTACCAGGATCTTGTATAGTGGGTGCCCTCTGTGTCTAGAAGAAGATACCTGCAACCTTTGCTTTGAGTTCAAGCTCAACAAGTCGAGGGCTCCAGGTGATAGGTGGGCCACCAGAAACCTAAAAGACCATGCTCCAATTTCACCTCCGGAAACACTGTCAGCGAGTCGAATCCTCTTCATGGAGAAGATGGGCCATGTTTTTGATAGTGGATCGGGTGCTAATAGCAAGAAGAAGAGAAGCAAGAAGACCAATGACAAGAAAGGAACCTGTCAAAGGAAGAAGACTGGTGAGAAGAGGACTGCAGCAGGTGGTCAAAGGTCAAGGACTGCCAAGCACAGACAAGGGAAGAGGAAGGAGTCTAGCAGCGGAGCAGCGGAGAGCAAACAATCAAGGCTGAACTTCACAGTAGAAGGATACCCAAGAGAGTCATCTGAGTACGAGCCTAGTGAGGGCAAGATAGTGTACAGGCCGCCGGGCTATGGACAGAGCAAGGAGGACGAGGATGATGGCATCATAGCTCGCCACTGTGACATCTGTCACCTCAAACCATGCCTTGCCACTGCTTGGGACCAGAAGATTCGTAATAGCTGCCACAAGCACTTGATAGCTGACAAGAGAACTATCAATTTCACAAAGAAGGCTGTGGAAAAGATGCTTCAGAAGGAACACTGCAGGCTTTTCATGAAAAGGTACCGCATCAAGGATCCCATCCCAGTTTGCATTCGGAAGGTGGCGAGTTCAAGATGGGAGACCCTAGCAATGAAAAAGACAACATGTGGATTGCATTGTATAACTGCATGCTTTACGAGGTGTATCGCCTGGTCAAGTTCATCAATGAACAAGAACAGAAGGAACTCTTGTGCAACTTGGTCATGGATAAGTTGGGTCACCCCGCATTGACCCTGACCGGCAATGCAAAGAAGAACCGACGTAAGCAATTGGGTGGTTTTGCTTATCAATTGCCATGTGCACCTTGCAGATCTCACACCATTTGCCTCCCTTTCTGCATGCTGCTTTCTTAGGAATTCAGAGGAATCGCGAACAGTTCAACATCCTTTGGCGGAAGCAGGTCTGTCGTCATCTGAACAAGGCCCGCAACTATGTGCAGAGCCAGTGCTTCAACCATGTGAAGAAGTTTGTTGCGGAGAAGGGGACGGATGACTTCCCATCCATGGATGACATCTTCAAGATTATGAACCGAGACAAGGTGTTGATTCCCCCAAAGGAGGATGCCACTGATGAAGAAAAGGCTGCTCATGAGGACCTGATGAAGAAGGCTGTGTGGTGGTGGAACTGCTTCCTTGCACAAGTGGCTGGCGCATCCAAGTGGTGGAGGCAAGGGATCCGTGTGCATAGCACCATTTCGGAAGCAACATATGAGGGTGAGGTTTGCATGCCTCCCAATACGGAAGCTATGGCTGTCCTCTTTTTTGAGAATGGCGCCACTCCGGATCCTGATGCAAGGGATAAGGAAGGCAATCTTCTGAATTTGCCAGGAAAGTGGCCTGCATACTTCGCCTTGACAAACAGGTGCAAGGAGAAGAAGGCGGTCCCAAGGTCCAAAGCAGAAGATAAGAATGGAAAACATGATGGCCGGTACTCCCATGGCAAGGGTGGAAATTGCGAATTTGGAGGATGGACTGATGCCGGACTTGCACATTTTGAGGACTTGCGGCAGCAGGTTGTGGATTCAAGAGCACAGCCTCATTCTCAAGAAGTAGAAGAGGCCATCCTTGCACGAGTCCGCATCGATGCCTTTGGTATGGATGGTGAAGATGATGGTGAGCCCCCAAGAAGAAGAAGAAGAAGAAGAAGGCGCCGTCCGGGGTGAAGCTTAGCTTGGGCTTGTAGGTGGCCAAGGTTCCCAAACTAGAGCCAAAGGCTGCCATTTGGCATGCTACACTCCCAAATCCAGGGGGTCCTTTGCCTTGCTTTTCCCCCTCATTCCTTCTCTTTTGGCATGGCTACCATGGTGGCTGTTACCTCTTCCGTCATTGTTTGGTTGCCTCCCGAGTTGCTGTTTTGCATCCAATGCCACCCTGTGTTCTTGCCGCACCTTGTCTATTGATGCGATGTTCGGTTACTTATTTGGTAACCTTTTCTCCCCTTTTTATTCCTGTTAACCATGACAATCTTGTCTCCCGATTGTTGTTGTTCGAAACCTCTCGCTGCAGTATTCGCCAGTAGTATCCTTAAAGATTCTAACCCCAATATTATCCCAATCTTCCCCTCTTTTGGTCTAGTTTCCCGAACTGTACTTAGTGATTAGTATCCTAGGAACTCTTAATTTGGAAGCACGTTTGCCGTGTTTTTGGATGCTTTGCATGACTGTTAAGTAGGAATTGCCCTTCCATTCGGCTAGGTACTGGATCCTGCTTTATACGGTAAACATCTTTGTTCGGAGGGAAAGAACTATTTAAAGCCGATCCTTTTTAATTACCAATGACCCAGACATGCTTCAAGTTATGCACGGTGTCCACCACACGCATTGTGAACAACGAGGGTGTAGGTTTGTTAAACGGGCCGTACTGGATCATTGAGCATGCCTTTAACGGATTTGTAAGTACTGTTTCATGGGGAACCAGAAGCTTCGGTGCATAATCCGCAACCTCCCTTCACGATTTGTATCGTAGGGTCGACCTTCGACTTTAATCGATAACCTACCTTGTAGATTGGTATCCTACCTTCAGATGCGCTTCTCAGATGAATTGGTTGTATCACATGCACCTCAATCAATTGTCTTCCACCCAATCGTTTATTTGCAGCGCTGACATAGCCAACCATGATCTTTCCTCTTGTCCATGCGGAACTGTTTTCAGTTGAGCCGCCACATAGAACTGTAAACCATTGTAAGATTCGTTCTTTCAAGCAAGTTCACAAATGTAGAATATATGATATAAGCTTACCTGAGACACATCTGGGTACAGGACGTATACCCTTGCCACATGCATCAAATAGTATTCAACACTGCACCGCTGAGCAATTGATGTTGGACCTTGATGTGATGGGGGTGGCACTTCAAAAACCAATAGGTGTCCTTCCTGTCGCACTCATTCAGCAAGCTGCGCATTCTCGCTAGCAAAAATCATCCTTGGCCCCCAACTTATCCAGTCAACCACAATCAGAAGAAGCCTTACGCTCCAGAATGTCTCACCTATAAAAAGCAAACAAAGCGATGAACCCAAACATTGACCTTGAACTGCGGCAGAAACAATGGGACCAGTCAGCAAATTTCCTCACCTGTATGTTTGGAGCAACAAAAGCCAACGGCAAGTCAGTTGACCAATGCTCCAACAGATGACAAGTCAGTTGACCAATGCTCCAACAGATGAACTGAATCATTGACCTGGAACTGTGGCAGCAACAATGAGTCCAGCCATCAATTGTCATTGTCTCACCTATATATATGAAGCATCAAAAGCCAAGGGCAAGTCAGTTGACCAAAGCTCTAACAGATGACAAGTCAATTGACCAATGCTCCAACAGATGAACTGAAACACTGACCTGGAACTGTGGCAGCAACAATGGGTCCAGCCATCAATTGTCTCACCTATATATATGAAGCATCAAAAGCCAAGGGTGCGACGATAGTGCTCCAGCCTTGAATGGCTCATGGTATCTTTGGTTAGTGTTGCCAGCATTGGCAACAACTTTGTGCAACCTACTGACACCTTTGGCCTATGAAATATTGATTGCATGGACATCATTGTCCACCTAGAAATAGCTAGCTAAAACCTGCTAAGCCTCAGTTATTTGGAATTGCCAGTATTGTCGCGTGGTAGCATGCGAGATACCTGATCTCCACCACAGCTTATTCCTCTGCTAAGCTTGCTTCGCTTTTGTAATAGTGCGAAAGATTGATTGAGATCTCTTGCACGTATTACCAGCGAACCAGTCCTACAAGGAAGCAATTCCCAAAATAGTAACTCGTACAAAGAAATTTGGAAGCAACCACTCGACACTTCCACCACCACGAGAGCAAACCTATCGACACTCTCAACCAGAGAGCAAACCCATTGACACTCTCACACAATCGAAAGACGCTTTCGACACCACAGCTAGTAGCCACCCTTACAGTGTGGAAGCAACACAGATTTGTGGATTTGCTGACACAACGAAAACTGAACTTGCGACCGATTCGAGCTGAACCAAGACAGTCGCCTATCAACCAAGACCTCCTCTACAACGTGGTACCATTATCTCCTTGTTGATCGCCTTGGTTACAGCAGCTGATAGTGGAATAGACCGCCATTGTGGACTTTTCGCAAAATCAAGTCAAGTGTACTGGACAATTTCAGTGTACTGGACAGTTCTGAAAGCAAGCAGAGCCTTCCATCTGAATCCTTCCCACATTTCCGTGGATATTCTTCTTCTCGGAGCGTCAACCCACTCGGAGCTTCAAAAGATACTCAAAAGATACTCTATCTCAAACACCCACACACACACGGATACACTACCACAGACAGCTACCAGCATCTTCGTTTGGAGACCACACTAATTTCTACAGTAACTTGCGTCGTTTATTCCTCAGCATTAAGATTTCTGCTGAATGACCCAAAACTCACCGGGCAACTCATCTGAATCTGAATCCAACGACTCCAACCAACCAGAACCTCCAACCAGCAGCCTCTACGACTTTGTTTCCAGTCTCATCTCGCCTGCTGCAAACGTTTCTGGTGATCCAGACTCTCGAACCTTCTCGTTCGATTCCAACCAACACGACGCCGAAACCAACATGGCTGAACCTGCATTTCCTACTCTCAAGCAGCCCCGTGTCGGAGGACTCAATGCGACTGGAGCTTGGACTGGACATGGAGTCGGCGGCGAAGGAACTTCTCCCATGAGCACCCAGTGCATGAGAGACTTCAAGACGAATGTAATCAAGAACCATCAGGCTCTCTCTCCCATCGAACTGAAGTGCAAAGAGGGACTGAGTGGCTCACCCGACCTTCTGTTTAATCTCCCTGGCGAACCAAACGCAGATAAGGTAGTGCCATCGCTTATTGCTCTAAGCGAGTTCATGATCTCAGTTGGGATGGAAAGCGTCTTTAGAATCATTCAGACCGATGGCACTCAGTTGGACATGCTTCTCCAACCTGGTATGGTTTCCAGCGACATTGAGCGAACCTGGCATAAGGATCTAACGGTCAATGGAGTTATCAAAGTTGATGATCAGGGCCGTCCTGTCATGGCCAACGGTGCTGTCGATCGTTTTGCTCAGTGCTCATATGATGCCCAGAACCTGCATTGGCCGGGTGAAGCCGTGCTCAACTCTTGTTCGCCAACACTCATGCAGGACCTTAAGCAAGTCATCCCAAAGCTCGCTGATCGAACTGGTCCCCATGTCCTATTTACCATTCTGAAGAAGATTTACCGCCCATCCAGCTCCAAGATCAAGAGTCTTGTCAACAAGCTAGAGGCACTCAAGTTGACCATGATGCATCTGCTATCGTCCGGGAAATTCAGATGAACCATATGCCAAATGCAACAGTCCCTGACTTGACAACTTCGGCGCTCAAGGGTCTTACCACGGCAAGCGACCCATTGCTTCTCCAAAGGATGAGAGAGCTTCGTCTTGCCAATGATGTCAGTGGATTTGATTCGACTAACAAACAAGTGATGGGTCCCATCGCTGCTCTTCGCAAAGGTGAAGACCTTTACACCGTGCTGGTCTCTCAAAGTGACTATGCACCTGCCCAGCAGATTTCTTCTGATACCAAGCACAAAGCTATGCTATCCCAAATGGCTGCCATGGTGGCTAAAGAATTGAAGACCACACTTACTCAGGACAGGTCTGCAGGTGGCGGCAGCGGTGGTGGCAGTGGGAGCAGCAGTATCAAGTGTTGGACATGTGGAGGTGACCACATGCAACGTGATTGCCCCAAGTCTGGCAGCAGCTCTGGATCTAGCGGCAGTAACAGTTCCACTGGTCGTGGCATTGCCAAACATGGACTGGATGAGGCCACTATTGCAAAAGTGAATGCCCAGTGCAAGGAAGTATACAAGACAATGCCTCAGCTCCATGCCAACATTCTGGACGATGCCCAGTACTCTGTCGTCATTGAAGGCAAGACCCTGGCCAAGTTCTGTCGTCACTGTGGTTGCTTCTCCAAGGGAGCCAGTGCCCACTATACGAGTGAGCACAAGGGAGCTAATCGAGTTGCATATGTTCCCGCTAGTGGTGCTGAATCACCCCCTGCTGCTGTTGTACCACCACCCCCAGTGGACACAGGGGTCACTGCTGGAGGAAATCTTTGTGGTGCTGTTCGATTTGCTGATGCTCCAGTTATTGATCCACAGGAGTTCATGCAACGGGATGAAGTCAACTATGATATGGGCAGTATCCCAGTTGTCGACCATCACTTGGCTGAAGCTTTGGAGGAAGACGACGAGTTTTCCTTCCTGTCTCTGCTTTTAAAAGGATACGGCAGGTAGGCCTATTTGCATATGGCCTACTGATTGTCGTTTACTTGCACCATGTCGGATATTACGGCTTATCCCTGCAGCCAACACATGCTATGGAGGGAGATATTCATGGACCTGAACATACCATGTGTTCCTCTCAGGAAAAGCCAGCTCTGCCATCCCTATGGAGATTCACTCAGTGGTCCTCAACATTTTAGACTCCATTTGTCCCAGGTCTCAGCTCGTTTGTATATCCCGCATCCATTGGTTTTCTCTTTCACTCAAGCTGTGTCCACCTACATCACTGGTTCTACAATTGGGTGCTAGCTCTTTCTGGCTTGTGTTGGGTATCGTGGGCGCTTCGCCGCACCAAGACTGTCATTCCCACTTTCGACACCCTCACTTTGGCAGATACCTATTCCAGTCTTCCGCCTCCTGAACGATGGAAAGGTTCCCAACGACGTGCACAGGCTCGCCATGTTCCTTTCTCCAAGCAAAGACTATTAATGATGATGGGACTCCTCAGCTCGTCAGCGTGTCACTCACAGCCCATTTCCCTGTCCCAGGACTTGGCTTTTGAGAAGCGTCTGAAACGCCTTAGGAGCCATAAAGGCGCACTTCGAACCAACAAGTTGAATGACAATGACTGTCTTTCTTTGAATATGCTTTTGGGAGGCACTAAGCAGCAGTTTGGAGTTGTTACGAAGGGACACCCAGATGCTTTCAGTGCTATCATTGACACTGGATGTTCTTTCTCAGCTACCAACAGCTTTGATGATGTGGAGGCAGGATCTGTCAGAAAGCTAGCTGAACCAATTCACCTGGGTGGAATTGTGGGAAGTCTCATGGTTGAATATGTGGGCAATGCTACATGGGAAACTCTTGACGACAATGGCAATGTTGTTCCGTTTCCAGCTAAGGTGCTCATCCATGAAGACTTACCTCATCGTCTGGTCAGCCCCCAGACCTTTTTGGACCATCAATCTGCTGATGAAAAGTGTGACACTATTGAAGACCACTTCTGAATGGTGGACTCAAGGTACCAAAACATTGACCATGGATACGATCTAGTTTCTTACCTCGTATCACTCTCTTTCAAAAGGCAAGGCTTTCCAACATTGGAAGCAATGACTTCTGCTCTCCCTCAGGGAACCGAAACTTGCCAACTATGAAGAAGCACTGGCTCAAGTGGCACACAGGCTGGGACATATTGCCTTTTCAGATGTCAGAAAGCTGGCTCTTGGAGGATTCCTAGACAAAGTTGCCCTGGGTCTGAGCTATTCAGATCATGGGCCAAAGAGTGGCGTCATCTGCTTCAGGCAATGGAGAGACGCATGATCATCATTGTTCGTGCCTTTGACACAGGATTCGAATGGTCCCTCGGAGACACCATTCTGCCATTTTGCACCACTCCACTGTACCGAATCGACTGAGAGTTCTCCATAATTTCATTGACAAATCGGCTATCTTAAAAATGCCATTGTCAGTATGGTAAGAGTCAACCTCCAACCATGTTCTCGAAAGAATCTTCGAAGCTGTCCTTAGCATTGATGGTGTCTGAGGCGTTGAGGGTTACCTGACATTCAACATGAAGGACACCAGATGCAGCATCACAAAAGATTGTAGTCCACAGTACTTGTCTTTGTCGGCTCTCTTCCAGCCGTATGGAACAGCTCCCTCGGAGGCGTGACTCCAATTGATCAAAATACACTCAATCACCGGGCTTTGAGTTGTCCTTCCTTGAGGACTCCAATTTCGCTCGTTTCTTCCTTGTGATGGTGCTACGTCAGGCCTTCTGGTTTGCTTCCCAAACTGACAGATGAACATAAGGGAGCAGTAGGTACCTTG